ATTAAACTTGTGACCCAATTACCCCATTTTTGTTCTAAGAAAATAAAAACTTTATCCCAGTCTTCCACAATTTTTTCAGATGTTTCCTCCCTTAAATTTCTTGTCATCTTATCTAAGTCCAAGACTTCATGAAGTTTTAAAAACCATTGTTCCATACTGGGTGCTTTCTTACTCTTCCAATTTTTGGCACACACCATTCTAGCTGTGGAAATCATATAAAATAAAACACGGACATGCTTTATTTCTAGATGGTTGTCTAACATATTTAACAAAAATATCTCTGGTTTAAACTTTATTTTTGTTTATAAGATTTTATTTCGTATAGAACAGATTTTCCTCCAGAACTTTTTAGCTTCTTTTCATTTCCACCAAATATGGAAGAGAGTCCCCCTTTTTTTTTTACCACATTTCCAACATTTATTGCTAGTATTTCCATATATTCTGCTTATTTTGTCTGGAGTCAAATACCATCTATAACAGATTTTATAAAAAAAAATCTCTTACATCTTGGCACAATGTGTATTTTATTCTTTTTATCCAAGTTGTCTATTTCATTCACAGAGGGTGTACAGACCGGCATAAAGAGCCAGCCTGGGGGCAGAGTGGGGGGCATGACAACTGCATGCCGACTACCCCAACTCTGCCCCCAGGTTGGCATCACACTGCCCAAGCAATCACACTGCAGGCAGCAAAAGGGTGTGTCTTTGGTACAGCGTTTACACACGCTGTGCTGAAGAAGTGGAGAAAAGCCACTGCCACAGCAGGTAGGGTGCCCTTTCTGTGTCACAAAAGGGAGCCCCTTTTTGCGGCTTCTTTTTGCGCCTCGGAAAGCCCGGATTGGGGCTGTGGCAAGGAAAGGGGCAGCATCCTGCTGCCACTTAGGGTGGCATTTGTACATCCCCATAGTCCCTCAGTAACAGTATTTGTGGATGAACTTCAAAAAGAGATCACCTGGATTGGTGCCACAATGGAAGGGCTTCTTTTCATTAAACAATGGGGAACAGAAATAACACCATCATTAAACAATAGGAGAAGGAATTATATGTTCCATTAAAAATACTGCTTTTTCCACACTTGCTAATTTGGAGCGCTGATGCCCTGTTAATACATGGCAGACTTCTGTCATTATTATTTTTTAAATCACAGGTCCCCTTCATTTCCCTCCACCTCTAAAACCTTCTAACACAGTGGGACTTCAATTTTGCATATATCATACAATGTAAATAAGGGGCTATTCAATCTGTTTCCAGAAGCAGTTTTCTAGATGTACAAAAGAGTTCTCCTTTCTTTCCATGTCCCTTAGAGCAGATTCACAACTCTCTGAAACAGACTGTGGAAAGCAAAGGCTTCAAGGAGGGGGAAATTAATTTTGCAACTAGATGTTATCAAATGCAAGCCATGTCATTAAAGCAAGTCCAATGGAGATGTTTGGCTGATGGCTCAAGGTTGCAGTTACATGGCTTAAAATTGACTCCATCTTATGGCAACTGCTATCATAAGGTCTTCTTGGCAAAAATTGTTTAGAGGAGGTTTTTCATTGCCTTTATCATTGGTTGACATAATGTGGCTTGCCCAAGTCATCCAGTGGGTTTCCAGACTTGAAAGGGATTCATACCCTGGTATGCTAGAGTCTTAGTCCAACATTCAATATTTTGTGATATTTGATAAAATAATTTGCATTTGAGAGCCAAGAATGGCAGAAATGAAAGCTCAGTATTAAAATCATTGTTTACATGGAATCCAGGGTACATTTGTTTTGTTGTTGTTGTTGTTGTTGTTGTTTTTACAAAAGCAAACAATGTTTCCTTCATATTAAGATATGCCATTGCCAAATACTTTTTTTAAAAAGAAATCCACTTAATATCTTTTTTTTTAACCTGCAAAACTGGAAGCAACTAGAGGGTATTCAGCATATAGAACAACACATTTGACAGCTGAACAGGAGCTCTTGTTACCTTTAATCTTGAACTTCGACTTGACCCAAACCAGTATCAAGTGATACCAGTTTACCAGCTGTCCTTGGTCAGCCTGATGGAGGACTTCAAAGGGTAGATTTAATAGCATATAGCTTGGCCTTGGTGCAGAGGCCGTATCTGTTCTTACTTACAGAACAATAAAACCCTGTATTTAGTTTCCCATCAGCAGATGGTGAGCCAGTTCCCCATTTCATTTTGTTGTCCCATCTGGATGCCTTAGTACTAACAGAAAATGGAAGGTGAGGCCACCAAAGTGCCCTGGTCATATCAAGAGATTGGGGATGGGAACAGAAAAGAGACTGAGGCATAGTCTGGGTCATGGCAAATTAAATACATTCCAAGCAGCCCTGAACAACTAGAAAGGATGAAATCAATATTAAATCCTGGGATAATGGAAGTGAAATCAGATGATGCATTGATGGGGATGCCATGAAAGCATTTTGATACATTGTGAAGCTGTAGCCCAACAATAGCTGAAGACCTACATACTCCACATCTTTGCCTTGTCCTGTGGCTAATGTCTGTTTGGTCTTTCAGTGCATCTCTGCACAGTGATGGGATTCATCCAGCTCTAGTCAGCATAGTCAATGGTGAAATGTAGAGCTGAAGTATAATGTAGACTGGGGTGCTCTGTACAGTGTCATACTTCTGTTGGAATATATCTTAATAGAATATGCTGAGTTAGTTGGACTTGCAGAAAAATTAACCAGCTGTTCCCATTCATAATAACATATGGTAGGGTATATGGTAATAATGGTAATAACAACTTTGTAGCAACCTGGTACACATGTTAAGTTATTTTTAAGAACTGATTGTTGACCTCCAACAGGATAGATGGATGGATGGATGCATGGGGGTATAGCTATAGGTACTGCTGAGAGTGAGGCACTGAAAATCCTTCACACTTAGAACTCCTAAATCTGCTGTGTTCACATTCCCTTGGTGACTTTGTCTGCCCCCCTTTTTTGCTGCCTAAATTGTATTTCTAAATATTCAACTGAAATTTTAAGTTATTGTAATGCTAGAAATTTGGAGACTAAAAGAAAATTTAATATAGGGATATAGAATTCTTATTGAGGGGCAAAGCCATAGATAGATAGATAGATAGATAGATAGATAGATAGATAGATAGATATGACTGGGTGGTAGGGATTCACTTGTTATTGTTTCATTCTAAAAATAATAAACTTTTTTTAAAAACCAGTGACAATTACCAATCCCCCCCCCCCCC